AGGGACGGATAATAAACAGCTGTAGCATGTAGTCGAACTCAGCTATAATGATTTTAAGCTTATCTGATGCTAGTCCTTTGAATCTAGCAAATACAAGTGCCCTTTGAGTTCTGATTGTATGACTTATCTTTACCTTACTTTTGAAAAGTTGGAGATTGTGTATGGTTTGGAATTTCCCCCAGTATAGTCTAGAATTTCGCAGTTGTTATTGGTGGAGTTTTTATAGAATTTAGAGAAGTGATGTGACATTCTTTGAATAAATTAACTCGAATTTTCTTCAAGTGTCAAACGTCGTATCTTAGTGTCGACTAGAATATCATCTCTCTTTAAAAAGTCTATTCCCAGTATTACCAGATCCAAATCTACTGCGGTGAAAGCATTGGGGAATTTCCTCCTAAATGAAAAGTCTGCATCGGTGTATTCTGCCCAAACGTCACAATTTTAGTTTTGTTGGCAGCTTCAATTTCATCTCGGGAAATTTTTCGATCCAGCTCGGTCTTCTGAGGAATAGTACTAAGTGCAGCACAGTTACCTACCAAAAAGTTCATGTCTGAGCTTTTGTACCTACCATAAAACAAGCGACTTCTCGGACACCTCTCCTGAATAATTACGGCCTTTTTAGTGCTTATGCGTTTCCTATATTTTTGATAGCCTGTTTGGGTCAGGTACATGGCTGACTGCACCTTGTTGATTTGGCACCAAGCCTCTAATGCTACAAACAGAACTGTTCAAATTGTCTGGACGTTTTTGAATCGCTCTGTGACATTGATCTCGGTTTTCGTGATGATTCGCTTCTGTTTCTATAATCTGTTTGCATTATAAAGATAGTCTCTTTGAGACTTATCATACTCTCAATGAGTTCTACCATGACTGAGCTCATTGATGATTCATTTTGTTGATGAAATATCATACATGATCCAGTTGCGAGACCCCTCTACATTGCTTTTTCTGCATTGCGTGCTAAACGAAGCAAACAGATGTTTGGGTCTAGGACACTCAAACAGTATTGAACGTAGCATGTATCCATCCTTGTTTTAGGACTGCTTCACCCACAATATTGCCGCCCTCTAGGAATTGGAGGTGACGTAAGAAATTTGGTGACCTATCACCCAATGTTTCTCCCTGTAAAAGACTTTAGGCTCTTCAGCCGTCTGATAAAGATAGACGGTTCATTATCTCACGTCTACAAATGGTGTGCGATTGTGACGTTTAGGGACTCAAAACTAAGTTGCGGACTTCTATAGGAACTAAAGGGGGGAGGACTGAACATATATATTGTTACCCAATCTCTTCATATTTAATATTGTGCCTCGTGCAATAATGCTCTAGTTGAGAAAACCACAACTCAGGGTCACTACGATCAAATTCTGGGAGTCAAGCTTTCTTAGTCATAACAGTGACTATTTCTACTGTAGACAAATTATACTTATCTTTCGGGCTTTTAATATGTATTGAGTCTGACATATGGCATATAACGAATGTATTATTGACATATAAACGGGGGACAAATAATCCTGGCACTAATACTGTGCGATAATATATAGAAAGTGTTGAATGTTATTTCAGTTATTCTCTTTATCAAGCATTGTTGAATGTATGAATGAATGAATAAACAACCAATTGATAATCTGGCGCTATACTTTATTTATAATGAACTATTAGAACCTGATTGTAACATTCCGAGTTACACATTTATATTGAGAAAGTACTTGTTCAAGCTTTCTATTTAAGTTATTGAATGTTATCGTGAACATTTTAAATGAACACTCACCAATCATGTTTTTCATGACTAAAATAATGAAGTGATGCAGATCTGTTAGTATTTGCAAACGATTCAACCATTCATATATGAGATAGCATCGATTCAATTTTGATTGGTCAGTAATAGTGAATATATAAGTACAAATTGCGCTTACATAGTCGAACTTGAAAGAGTCATGAAATCTTCCATAACTTGTTTTCTATACTTATTGTTTATTGTAGTTTATTCTATTTCTAAATGTCATTCCATAGTCCCTAAAGCTTATAAACATCATAAGACAGGAATTTATCATAATCTTGTTGAAGTGTTGACGTACAATCATTCATACAAAAACTGTTATATTTTAACGGAAGCATTAAAACGTTTTGAAGAACGTCTCACATTAATAAAACAATATCCTAAAGTTCCTATTTGTTTACCAAATTCTACAATCGATACCATCAAATTATCAATCACTAGGGGATGTAACGAGTCAAATGGTGAATTATGGCCTTCTGAATCAATCAATGAGACGTGTATGTTATTTTATTCAACGAAATTATTATATCACAGATTCACTTTTTATTTTCAGTAAGAGAATAATCTTAAAATCCGAAGAAATCTGGGGAATATTACATGGATTAGAAACAATACTTCAGTTAATTTACAGAAGTCCACTAGAGAGAGTAATGTGAAATTAGATAATCATTAATTTATTTTTGTTAGAACATGATTGAAGGTGGTCTAATTTGGGATGAACCATCATTTCCCCATAGAGGATTTTTAATTGATACATCTAGACATTATTTATCATTGAAGGAGATTGAGAAATTCCTTGTAAGTGTAAAATATTATCTGAAGAAATTTTTTAATATTTATGTTTAATATCTACACACTTATAACTCTCATTAAAGTATAATTAAACTTTTTGAAACACTCATATTAACTAGATTGTATGAAATGATTAATCTAGCTACTATTAGTCAAACGTTATATGTGTCGCTCGATTTCGTGGATTAGTTGAAATTAGACATTAACACCGTTGGTTGCTGGCCGACTCAGTGGTCTAATGGTTAAGTGCTCACGTGCGCAAAACCAGTAGGTCCTGGGTTCGAATCTCGCAGGGGAGGAGGTCGTGGATGTGGACTCCCACTGAGGAGTTCCACAATAGGACAAAATGGCTGTCCAGTGCTTCCAGGTTTTCCATGGTGGTCTAGCTTCAACTGACTCATGATTTCAATCAGAAAATAATAATTGGGAAAACGGATTGCATAATACTGGAATAAAAATGAAATGTAATAAGAGAAGGCATAGAAAGGAAATAATTCGGTTGAGAGAAAAATGTCACTAGTGAAGCAGATGGAGAGGGAAACTAATTTTGAAAATTAAAACCAAACACGAATAGGTTGAACAGGTTTCTTTTGTTCACATAGGTTGGGTTTTCTAAATGTGTCACAATGGCTCAAGTAATGTTTAGAAAACAGAAGCTTGACGTATTTAGAAAGTTTTTGTTCACCTTTTACATGACTTAGAACCCTGAGCCTGCTGTGATCTGATGATCCATATTCATAATTTCTTCAATTATGTGGTGCCTCATTGATCCACTTCTGTTTATTGTCGACTATACTAGATAATGTCCTTCAATCTTCTTGAGAAAAACTTACATCAAGCAACCCGTATTACCTGGCTGTTTAGGCGTAAGTTGATTGATAAATACACATAGAAGTGGTTAAATGTGAGAGCTTATCATTTAGGTCGTCGTTAAATACTGATCATCTGTAGCATACTAACCATGTGGTTGTTGTAAATAATGCCCTATATAGGGAAATAGAAATTTATCTTTCCAAGATATCCGAAGCCGTGTTACCTTTGAAGCAATTGTACATGTAAACCAATTTTTTTAATACGAACCACTCCATGAAGGTTTTCTGTAAACAGATCTTAGAGTTCGATCAGTTTCTCTGATAATTACATCATCCATAAAGTAACTGTTCAGTTTATTTTCCATTTTAAGTGTTAGGTTTACTATCAGGTGGCATTTGTTGAGTGTCTGTATAATGTGATTTGAACCACATTTATCATCGCAGATAACAAAAAGATTACTTATATTTTCTTTGTTTAGTTGTCTTTAGTTGTTCGTTTTCCGAAATGACCATTATACAGTCTACTAGTAGTTGACCAAGACAGAAACCCATAACTATACCATCCTTTTGTCTGTAGATTTAATTCTTGATTTAAATTGTTCATTTAAATGGAATCACAGTAATATTTTCGTGCCTATAGGTAACCCTCGTGTTATTGATAGAAGAAGTCAGACACTAATTGAATGAAATCTTTATTTTGATCTTAGCGCAGTCACAGTGGAGCGTGGGATTATCTGTTCAGACAAACAAAGGCTTTCAGCATTCAATATAAGATAATAAGGAATATAACGCTTATACAAAATAAGGAAGTGAATGAATACTTGAACAATACTGTTTTGGCATATGCTTGGTTGTTTGGGGTCAACTCTTAACCAACCAACCTATGCTGTTACATTAGCTTCCCCCTAGAATCGACTTCCGTAGGAACGTCGGTTCGATTAACCTATCTATCAAAAACACCTTAGTTCTATTTCTCATTCCAAGGGAAACTTATCAACTCACTCAATGTTTGACTTACAATAAGTGGCAACTAACGCTGACAACGGTAGTCCATGGATGTCTCTTCATTTACTAGCTTGTCATCTTATTTAGTAGCATGTGATTTCTTCTACAACTATAGCTGACGGTTTACTGAGTGCTTTCATGAGAAAGAGTGTTAAACTGTGGAATAAGAATATCTGAGGAAGTGCCGCGAGCGGGCTACCCAACACCATGTTGGTGAGGTACGATTTTTCCATGCTCAGACCGGCTATCAGGTGTTTACTCACCTGCCTCTTGAGTCGCCCTCAAGTAAAAAGTAAAGAAGAATCTACTTCAAAGGTAATGGTGAAAACCAATCAAACCTAAAGAACCGCTCCACTGCCTGCATCAAAATAATAAGATACAAAATGGAAATACATAAACATAATTGATAATTGTTCGGTTCCACGTAAGTGATTGGCCTCCAGAACGGATTGGTATTCTGGAAGAAAATAGACATAGTGTAGCCATCTTGTGTACGAAAAGGTATGAAAATAAATAAAATCCTTTTTTATAATGTATAAATGTAAAAGTGTAAACTTGCTAGAAGTTGGACTCATTGTCAAACCCGTTCAAATGTGTGACCTTGGGAATGTGACAACCGCCTTTTCTAACCAGGTACGTAACCAAGGGTGCATAATTTTACTCCATAAAACGGAAGAGAATATACGGTTAAAGAGGAGAGAAAATTGTGTAGAGTATGAGGATCAAGTACAGTTGTGTCAAATACTCTTTTCTGGTTTGATTTAAATATGTATGATATACTGAGGCAATATTTCGTCAATTAATCAAAGTAACGAACTTGTCTGCACCTTAGAAGTGTGTAAGTCCTATTACTCATTAGTATTATGAATGAATAATTGGTAAAAGGAAAGATTGCAGTCACCCCTCGTGGTCTGATGTGGCCTAATGGCTAGGTACGCGGTCTAGCATTCAGAAGGGCTGAGGTTCGAGTGCGTGTGGGTCATGCGTTTTTGTTCATCGAAACCCCCTTCAATACGATGTTTGTTGGCCATAAGTTGCTCAGATATGAGAGAAAAATAACAGGAGGACTGGTTGATATATCAGAATGCCATATTGGAACAGTACACGTTCTTTGTTTGGATTACTAATAATACTATAGAGAAAAAAAAATCTACAAGTTTTGTGATTTCCATTTTACGTTATACTTAAACCGAGAGAAAAAGTATATATATATATAAAAGTTACTGACATAACATGTCTTTTTTATAACGCTAGTGTTGAGTTCCAGGGTTTTGTCAGGACCACTAATAATAATTGGTTTAACGTTAACATAGCTATGATAGTCATATCGTTAGTTCAATGTTATGATTACTTAAGAGTTCCTTTATAAGTTGTGTTTAAAATTAGGTATGCGGAATCAATGCGGCTAACATAGTAACCTTACAGTAACGCACTGTACTATATTTCCACGGTTATTGATTCTTAAATGTCAGAATTTTAAAAAAAAATCTGAATATTGCCAATAAAGATGGGTTATATGATCACACTAAAAAGCATGCTGCAAGAAAACTGGTTAAGTCATTACATAAGTTTCCTAAACATGAAAAAAAATGATGAGAACTTTAATAAGTACTTGGCCATGGTTTAATCCAAAATGTTTTGTCTAGAAAACCACTTATTAATAGTAGTATTAATCGTATCAAGCTACTAAACATATCTTCGACCGAAAACTTTTAGAAGTAGTTCATATGGTATATATGTATAGCCAGTCTGCGTGAAAAATGTATATAGATATATAGTAAGTACAGCCAACATAGTTAATTAACCAGAAAAGAAATTATAAAACTCGCCTGGGTTGCTTTTTGATATCGTTGTATTTGCCAGTGTTAGTTGTATGAGTTTGATTAAAATCCTCAGCCATCGTTTCGGAATACCTAGCTTATGTGTCCAGTATTAAAAAAAAATATTTAACATAATACTTATATATTAAAGGTAAAAGGTCTGGGGAGTTGTAGGTGAGGCGGAATGAGGAAAAATAATTATTTCTAAGTAGATGCAGGGTCTGATTAGCTACGTGGTTAGATTTTATCCTGCAGCCGAAACTGTCAACATCCTTGACTGACTAATTGGATGTGCCCAGCGGACCGTTTTAGTCATTTGTAAAGATTTATCATCTTTACATTTCGATTCCGTAATGGATTTGTCAGTTATACGATCTAACAATACGTATGGTGGTTCATGATCTAGATAAGCCGGCTTTAGCCTATCAATACTTATTGTGTCGATGTTTCCATGTTTTTCTATCACGAAATATTTAGATTTTCTTGAGACGACTTTGAAAGGACCTTCAAATGGAGGACTGAGTGGTGATTTTATTTTATCACATCTTATCCAGACGTGCGTGCAATTGCTTAGGTCTTTAGGTACATATACGGCGCGCGATTGTTCGCGAGTATTAATTGGTTTAAGTTTGGACATATGGTCCCGTAGTTGATCTACGTAATTTTCTAAATTAAGTTTTTGACTGTTAGTATTAGGGTTAATAAATTCACCTGGTAGTCTCAGAGTTGTTCCGAAAACCAGTTCCGCAGCTGAACATTGTGCGTCAGTTTTGACAGATGTTCGTATTCCCAACATAACTAAAGGTAGGAATTCTGTCCACTGATTGGGGTTTGAGTGAGATATAAGGGCGGTTTTTAGCTGACGGTGAAAACGTTCTACCATCCCATTAGCCTGAGGATGATATGCAGTGCAGCGTATTCTATTAGAGCCTAGAAGTTTAGCCAAGTTATTAAATAGTTCGGATTCGAATTGCGCTCCTCTATCCGTCGTTATTGTTATGGGTGTACCAAAAATGGTTACCCAGTTCTGCATGAAAGCTTTGGCTACTGTTTCCGCTGTGATGTCCGCTATCGGGATGGCTATAGGGAATCTGGTAAATCGATCTATGCATGTAAAAAGATAATTAAAACCATTTGAACGGGGTAAAGGACCTACCAAGTCGATATGCACATGTGCAAAACGTGCATCTGGTTGCGAGAAAACACCTATGGGTGAATTTGTGTGACGATTAATCTTTGATTGTTGGCATGCTGAACACTCTCTAACCCATTTGTGTACATCCTTCTGTAAATTCGGCCATATATATCTGGCATTGATTAGTTTAGTTGAAGCTTTTGCTCCAGGATGAGACAAAGAATGAAAGTTATTATATATCAACTTTCGCATATTTTTGGGAACGAAAGGTCGCGGCATTGCCTTGGTCGTGTCACAGTAAATTAGAATACCATCGATAGGTGATGGGAACTGTTTTAAATTAAGACTTGAATTGTTTGTTTTGAGTAGGTTTTGTAATTCTAGGTCCTGCTCTTGTTCGTGTCTCAACGTCTCGAAGTTTACTGTAGACTGCTGTACCACGTTCATTTCTAGTCTGGATAAAGCATCTGCCGCCTGATTGTCCTGACCTTTGACATGTCGGATATCGCTTGTGAACTGTGATATATAGTCAAGGTGTCGGACTTCTCGAGGTGAGTACTTATCGGCTCTCGCTTTTAATGCATTCGTCAGTGGTTTGTGATCCGTAAAGACTATAAATTCCCTACCTTCTAACATGTGTCGGAAGTGTTTAATAGTCAGGTAGATTGCAAGAAGTTCTCGCCCGAAGGTAGAATACCTTGTCTCAGCTGGAGCGAGTCTTTTCGAGAAGAAAGCAATTGGTTTCCAGGCGTTTTTAACCAGTTGGTTAAGGGTACCGCCTACTGCTTTATCTGAAGCATCCACCATCAAAGCAAGTGGGGAAAGAGAATTCGGATATATCAACGTAGTTGCTTGAGCCAGTTTATCTTTAAGCTGTTTAATAGCTTCGACGGCGTCAGAAGACAGTTTGAATTCTTTTGGTTTTCCTTTAAGTAAATCTGTTAAAGGTTGCATTAATTGCGCACAACCTGGTATGAATCTGCGATAAAAGTTAATTAGACCTAGAAAACTTCTCATTTGTGTTAGAGAGCTAGGTATCGGGTATTGTTTGATGGTATCCACTTCTTTTTTTATAGGTTTAATCCCTTCTGGGCTTATTGTGTGACCAAGAAATTCTAAAGTTTGAACACCGAAAACACACTTACTTTGATGTATGTTTATTCCATGTTCATTCAATCTTGTCAACACTGCTCGTACATGCTCTTCGTGTGATTGCAAATCGGGGCTGGCAATTAACAAGTCGTCTATATACCCCTGCGCAAATGGCATATCTCGAAGTAGGTTATCTATGAATCTTTGAAATGTCTGTGCCGCATTTCTCAGGCCGAATGCCATGCGTACAAACTCGAATAAGCCAAAGGGTGTTGTAATAGCTGTCTTAGGGATATCTTCATCAGCCACCGGGATATTGTGATATGCCCTGACTAAGTCAATTTTAGTGAATATGTTCATACCCTGTAAACCGTTTGTGAAATCTTGGATATGCGGTATTGGGTACCTATCTGGTACGGTTTGACGGTTGAGGGCTCTGTAATCCCCGCACGGTCGCCAGTCACCTTCATTCTTCTTTGGGACCATATGCAAAGGGGATGCCCATTGACTATCAGACGGACGGATAATACCCAGTTGTAGCATATAATCAAACTCGGCTCTAGCGATTTTGAGCTTATCTGGTGCTAGTCTCCTGGGTTTCGCAAACACCGGTGCACCTTCGGTTTTGATAGTGTGACTTACTTTTAGTTTGTCTTTGGAAGGCTGTGGGTTTGGTTTGGTTAAGTTTGGAAATTCCGCGAGTATATCTTGGAATTTCGCTGTTGTTACTGGAGGGGTTTGAATCAAGTTAAGAGAGCTGATGTGACTTTCTTTGCCTTTTGTGTAAAACGAAGTTTCTTTTAGTGTTAATCGCCGTTTCTTGGTGTCAACAAGAAATTCGTATCTCTCTAGAAAGTCCATCCCCAGTATTGCCAGATCTAAGTCGGCTACCGTGAAAACCCAAGGGAATTGCCTTCTGAACCCCAAATCTAGGGTTAACGTTTTCTGCCCAAATGTCGCGATTGTAGTTTTATTTGCAGCTTGAAGTGTAATCGGGGATGTTTCTCGACTAATCTCAGTTTTATTTCGAGGGATGATGCTAAGAGCAGCGCCAGTGTCCACCAAGAAATTCAAGCCCGAGTTTCTGTCTCTGACATAAAACAAGCGACTGTTTAGGCGCCCCTCCTCAGTTGTCGCGACCTGGGGAGGGGTTACTCGTTTCCCGCTGTCTTGGAATTATGCTTAGGCCAGGCGCATGGTTGCCTGCACTTGGTTGAGTTGACACCAAACTTCCAGTGGTACCAACAAAACTGCCCAGATTGTCTGGACATTTGTGACCTATTTTGTGACTTGGATCGTGATCGTTGTGGTGACCTGTTCCTGTTTGTATGACCCATTTGCATTCTGGTGACAGCCTCAGTGAGACTCTTAACACTCGCAATGAGTCCTTCTATGACGGGGTCTTTTGCTGATTCTACTTTCTGTGTGTGATTTATTGTGCCTGATCCAGTTGGAGGACCTCTTTCCATTATTCTATCAGCTATACGCGCTAAATGAGATAATGAGGTTTCAGGATCTTGTGCATCCAAACAATGATGGACGTAGCATGGGAGAGCTTGTATCCATCCTTGTTTTAGGACTGCTTCACCCACTGTGTTATCACCCACTAAGACTTGGAGGTGACGTAGAAACTGTGACGGCGACCGATCACCTAGTGTTTCACCTTGAAAAAGTCTTTGGATTCTTTGACTATCTGATAATGATAAACGGTTCATTATCTCTCGTCTTAAGACGGTGTACGGTTGTGGTGATGGTGGATCTAAAATCAAGTCACGGACTTCTTTGGCGACTGAAGGAGGAAGGATAGAACACAAATCTCTATAGCGAATCCCTTCAGATTTGATATTGTGTCTCGTGAAATAATGCTCGAGTTGAGCAAACCACAACTCAGGATCACTACGATCAAATTCTGGAAGTCGAGATTTCGTAGTCATAACAGTGTCTATCTCCACTGGTGACAAATCCTCCAGATTATGGGTTTCTTTTAAGTCTGACATGAGGTATGTGACAAATATAGCAACAAAATTAGCACGAAAAAAAAATGGTTTCTATGACACGAATAACTTAAGATAATAAAAAAAATAAACTATTTATATACCCAACTTAGTTTACGGATTATCAGGTCTACTTTTACGATTGAGTAAAAAAAAATTATATTAATAACAAAAATGAGGTTAATTTGTGTTCAAAAAGGGCTCACCAGTTTCGTGCCTATAGGTAACCCTCGTGTTATTGATAGAAGAAGTCAGACACTAATTGAATGAAATCTTTATTTTGATCTTAGCGCAGTCACAGTGGAGCGTGGGATTATCTGTTCAGACAAACAAAGGCTTTCAGCATTCAATATAAGATAATAAGGAATATAACGCTTATACAAAATAAGGAAGTGAATGAATACTTGAACAATACTGTTTTGGCATATGCTTGGTTGTTTGGGGTCAACTCTTAACCAACCAACCTATGCTGTTACAATATTTTTTGTAAACAGTACGTAACCGTTACGATATCATTATCTCACTTAGTTTTTATTTAAAATCATTTTAGTCCTATTTTTTGTTTAATATGCTTAGAGATAAAAGATTTGACGTAGATTTTACGATCCATTAGAGCTATTCCTTCACCACTGTCAGTAAGCATTATTATTTTCTATGGTGATTGAAGATATCAAGAAGAGTAGACTTAAAACGTTTTAACTCATGGTCGGATATTGTTTTGACTTGACACGGCTAATTATCACGTGACTTATTTGCCAATTGGAACACGACGTATATAATCTTAACACTGTGTCAAACCAATGACGTTCGACCGGTACGACTAGCCCAGCGTCTTTACTGGTCCTTTTCCACCTAGCTCTGCCAGCTGAGTCCAAAAGGCCAATAATAGCTTCCAATATGCGAATCATTTATTTCGAACATAATTGGTTTATATACCAGCCAAACAGATCACATCATACAATAAAATAGGATATAACATTTGTACAAGATCAAACCGAGAAGTGGCTGTGAACATCAGGGACTGTAATCAATAAACTGAGTATAATTTAAGAATAATAAATCGTATCATAATAGTTTTTAGATAAAAATAAAGCTTATAATAAGATGAATATAGATATACGTAATCTAGTTACTGAATAGTTATATAATAAGCATATACATATAATATTAGTCTTTTAATAGTTCTCAGAAGTTACTTATAATTTATTCTTCACTAGAATATAACAGATACCGGATTAGACCTGTCTGTCTAATGACTATTTATTCTAATTGATTATGCGTGAAGTTCACTAATTTTATGATTCAAGTAGATAGCCCCCCCCCACAGATTAGGCCTCCAGTCGCCAAGGTGATGAAATTACTAGGAAATGATTGGTTATATATATCTCTTAGGAGATGTTGAGACTGTTCTGAGGATTTCATGCCTTCAGTGAAATTTAAATGTGCAGTTTGAGAATATTTATCTACATTTTCATGACATTTTCAATAAAATGTTCATACGGATTAGACATCAGAGTGTATAACATGTTTATGACATAATCTACTTTAGTAACAGAATGTATCAATGGATATAATTATAAATCAAATAATATAATTGTAATATCTTAATGAGTAGAAAACCAAATATTCTGACGTTCCGTGACTCAATCTAAGCCACCTCTTTAAAGATTAAATAACCAAATTAAAATTCATTCAACTTTAAATAGTACAAAAACTTGGATGAATTTTGATTTGGGTATTTATTCTCTGAAGAAGTGACTTACATTAAGTGATTAAACGTTAGAAAATTTGATTTCAAACTCATTGTGATATTACAATTACTTCCTTACTTACTTATGCCTGTTACTCCTAATGGAGCATAGGCCTCTGACCAGCATTCTCCAACCCACTCTGTCCAAGGCCTTCTTTTCTAGTTCCATCCAATTCTTGTTCATTCTTCTCATGTCTGTCTCCATTTCCCGGCGAATTGTGTTATTTGGTCTTCCTCTTCTCATTTAGCTTTGAGGGTTCCAGGTGAGGGCTTGTCTTGTGACGCAGTTGGGTGCTTTCCTCAATGTGTGTCCTATCCACTTCCAGCTATTCTTCTTCATTTTTTTCTCCGTTGGGATCTGGTTTGTTCTCTCCCACAGTAGGTTGTTGCTAATAGTGTCCGGCCAACGGATCCGAAGTATTTTGCATAGACCAGATTTTCGCCTCATACAGTAGAACTGTCTTGACATTTGTATTGAAAATCCTGACCTTGGTGTTGGTTGAGAGTCGATATTACAATTATATTATTTTATCTATAGCAATCTACCCATTGCTCAATTTTACCATAAATTATCAAGACATGCCTTGAACGTAGTTATGTTTTATGTGTCACTTTTGAAATTAAGGGTAAGAACGTTATGTAATGTTCTTTATAGTGTCAAATTGTAGAACTCAATAGTCAAAAAACTCTGTTCTAGCTATCTGACCCATTTAGCTATTTCAAACAATCACATAGTTTGTGCTAATAAATAAGTTCTTTATAATCGATAATTACGTTTGATCAACAATAAGGAATCACGAAGACATCTTATATATCCTTTAGTAATCAAATTTGACTTCAATACGTCATAATAAATCCTCAATAAGTTTCATTTACATGGTTAAAATTCATACTTTGGTTACTTTTGTATTTTGAAGGATTCAATGTCAATGGTGAAAATGAATGTACTTCATTGGCATATTGTGGACGATCAATCTTTTCCCTATGTATCTGAAACGTTTCCGAAACTTTCTTCAAAGGTAAGTTTAAGAGAAAGATTTTCGAATAAGTGTTTATCTGAGTATGGGCAGTTTTTTAAGACGGTGATTGGAGGTAATCAACAGGAAACCCTGGACCCGGGTTTCGTGCTACTTGGCACTCGTTAGCTAGGTGTACCTGTTCTTTCGGGAACTGATACTCCCTAGCGGATTCGAACTCGTGTCACCCAGCTTCATAGTCAGAGAAGTTACCCTAACCACAGGGAGCATCAGTTCCCTCAAGATAAGGATTTTTAACTTTAAACTACAGAGCATTGTTTTTAAAAATACAATTTATTCTTTTTTTTAACTAATCTTATATATTTGAAATTCTTTCATACGTTTAATTTCAGGGAGCATTTCACCCGTATCTTTTAATCTATACACCGAACGATGTGAAATATTTATTAAATTATGCTCGTTTACGAGGAATAAGAATAATGCCAGAATTTGATACACCAGGTAGGAAAAGTTATTAAATAGTTATGAAATTTCAATGATCACCTTCTAGACTGTTTAGTGTCCGTGTTAAGTTTTATCAATAGTTTATTTGAAATTGTGTTGATCACGACAGTAGGCGGAGTTAAGCAAGTTATGTTTGATATCAAGAGTATTGTGCTATTTGGTATGAATGTCGCCCCCATTGTTTGAAGGATTAGAAGCCTGATAACCTTTGATAAATATCTCTTAACAATTCAGATAACTAGGACTGATTAATTAATGGTGATTTTATGGTTCGTTGAAACTAGATGGAATAAGAACAAACTGTCGATATTTCTAAACGCATCTTTGCTTAATCAAGCTGTGAAGTGTTCAGAGGAATAAGAAAGCGAATTCCTCGAACGCAAGGAAAAAAACTGTGCTTCAAATAATAGTTTGAAATGATAAATTTAAAAATTGAATTATGTAAATATTTTAATCTCGATTTTGCCATCAAATGAGTATGACATATCGTCGTTACTTTTGTATTGAATTTCTATGATCCATTCTGTGTGACTTATTTCTCTGGTTCCTTGGCATTTACTCTATGACTTCATAAGTTAAATAATAATAATCATCGAGTATTGATTTTAGTTAGCTTATTGAATTTAGCCAACTGAAATCTTTGCTTTACTTAAAATTCATAATTCTTGGCATTCATAAAAGTAAAAAGGTTTTATGCTTATAGAAAAGACTGTTAATATTTTTGAAAAACAAGTACGGATTTTCCATTGAACTACTATGGAACACTATTTCAAGTATGTGATCAGATCAGCGGTAAAGTATTCAAGCTTATGAGTGCCAACAAGCATTTCATTTAGTCTGAATTTACGAGTGTACTATGGTAAATGACTTGAAGTTTCGTATTTCCGAATAGCCGATACTCTTCAGAAGCCTCATTTAGATTGTTTATTTCAGAACAGTTCCTTTAGATTGGCAACAAGGCATCCATTTCTTTATTTTAATAATACAATAATGACAGTAATCAATTATGCTGATTTAATATAGTCACTAATTAATAAACACTAATGACTCCTTTATAAGAACAAACTCTAAGATTGGGTTGAAGCCTGTGCAGTTGAGCCATTATCATGAGAGCAGTTGTACTCTTTCATTCGACTACTGATAAGTTCACCTAAATTGCCTGTAGAACAGATGATCTATTTTATTAAATACAGTAATCAATGCGCATTCACCAAAACCTTCGTCATCATCCTAACAAAATGTCCAATTAGGAGACGGTGATATAAAGACGATTATTTCATTGCTGTACTTGTTTATTTTATTTGAACACATAATGTAGTGTTAGTCATTTGCTTTAGCCCAGAATATATCTTATTCCAGTTTTCGGACATTTCATTCTATTCATTCTACTTGAGTCATACGTTGACCTTGTCAATTATTCGCTTGTCAGTCTTGATTGTTTTTATATGATCGTATATGTGTGTGCCCTTCTCATTTCATTAATCACATGTCTGTAGCTTATTTTTGTCTGATTATAAATATTGAGTAACGCTTGACTAAAATGGAGTTGGCTTCCCAGCCATCTTCCTTGAGTGTCATTTTGCTTTGCTCTGTTTCATTCGATTCATATACAAAATATATGTATTCTCAAGTCAATTCTCGTTATTCGAATTATTTAATTTCGTTATTGATTAACGCGATTTAAGTCGACGATTATATACGAGAATAAGCTATCTTGGAGTCAGATCAAAGGGCCACTAAACTGGTGAGCCCTTCAACGAACATCGTCCGGTCAAAATGAGGACAAAATTAAATGACGGGCCACCAAAATTAACATTGATACAGTGGGACACCAAATACATATGCGCTAGACAATTATGTTGTGAAGAGATAGTGAATGAAGGGTATGATGAAAAGAGGAGCAGCAATGAATAGAAACTAGTCTATGAGAGTTTGATAATAATAATAATAATAATAATAATAATAATAATAATAATAATAATAATAATAGTGGGAGAGGCAGTTTGGTTACGAGCAGAAAGAATTTTTCCAATTAAAGAAGTTATTCTAACTTTTACGAAGAAAGTTACAGTTACGTCTGAAGCTACCGTGTCGCACCATCGCAAGGACCTTAAAGAGGGAGTCGTGAAGGTCCAACAGAAGCGAGTCCTGTACAGCTTATTTTCATACCACGACACTATGTCATACAGTGACCACCTCTCCACTTTTTTCAACCGGTCCCAGAGTTGACAAATAATGCGCGATATAGAATTCACCGGGACGACAGTCATTGGACATATTTTAACCACCGATGTTGGGGTTTCAAGATGGTGACTGTTACGTCCTTGATCTGTCTACCTGTCATGACTGCGTCACCAATTGTTATATCTGTTCGTTGTTTATCACGTATAATTATAAAGCGAGGAACCTCTGGAATTTTCACGACGCGAAAGTAAGAACACAAAGGCTGATAAAAGTGACGATTTATTAACCCCAAAACACGACCACGACGACGACCCTACTAAAACACGCACATTTATGTATTGATTGCAAACCCATTTCGAATAATAATTTGGATGACATTACATATATGAAACGTACTTAGAGTTATGGCAAATCACATGCTACATGTTATGCTGTGCATAGTTCAGGTCAATTTTTATCACAAGAATATCGTATATTGTACAAAATAAAATGTCATACGAGAAAACAGAAACAAATACTACATTGAGTAACCAAAACATTGAATTAAAACAGAATTAATGTTGAATAAAAATCATAATGATTAAATCAATCTAATTTTGACTTTGCATCCCGTCATATCACTACCCTCTAATATACACGAAAGACCTTGTCGCGATCTAGCCTCAAACCTTCATATGATAGGCCAACTAGTTTAACTTTGAGGCTAGAAATGCGTGAATCGAATCGAGATTAACGGCCTTAGAAAAAGAAACGGAAACTATTTTATCACCTGATTGTTAGACAAGAAAGAAAAAAGACAAGTCAACAAGAACACTACTCGATTTGTTCCCGATCCCCGGTTCAGATTAATGTAAAAATATAGATGATTACATAGACGACTAACACGACCGAAACTCACAAACAATTAGAAAAGTAAAATTATATCCAAATTGGGCATTTGGGTGGAAAAAGAGAATACAAAATGTTACGTTTAAATTCCATTTGCTTTAGAACAGAAAACAGTATGTCAGTGAATTATACATCAAACGAAGGCCTATAATAAGGACAAAAATGAATGTTAGTGTTTCACAAACTCTGAATTAAAGTAAACATCGTCACCGAAAATATCTTCCGTTGCCCAACATGACTTTTTTGTTTCGCTGTTCAAATTACTGACATCAAGTGATTTATCGTCACTCTGCCTGAACACACGATGCCGAACCTCTGCATTACTGACATGGTGTTTCAACTGAATGTGAACAATTCTCCGGAGGTAAACAATACCAAACACAGAGAGTCATCTAACATCCCCAACTTGGAGAGATCAGGTTTCACTAGCACAAAGCGAAACTGCTCTCATCGGTGAGTTGCGGATCCGACCTTTTACAGACAAACTAACATCATGAAGGCGCCAAAGATGAGCCAGATCTGCATAAGCCGGTCTGTCTTTCATTATACGTGCAACAGTATTATTACTCACGCCACCACCAACATTTATGCAGCTACCCAGATGCAAAAACTTCTCAACTAGTGTCTAGTCCACCATCTAAATCTCAATATTTAGTGCCCACAGTGTCGAATCACGTAGACTGGTAGCCACATTGCAATATGATCGATAGCATTCGATCTGAACTAATAAGGACTAGACACGCATGACATTGATCACCAACCAATGATCAATCAATTATGAAGCAGCTGATTGTTATACAGTAAACATAGTGTCCACAATTTCCCGTGAAATAATTGTGAAACTTCAATCAACTATAAATACTCTTCAATCTAGAGATATTATGGCAATAGTTTAAAACTTTCATCACTAAGAATCATCATCATCATTTTAATTGATTATAATTTATATTAGTACCGATGATAAATCGATTTTATTATCGTATATAATTGTTCTTCATTTCAACCGATCTTAACCTGTAAACAATAAACTAAATTTTATTCACAAATCATAGATTTGGATAAAATAAATTTCAAAAATGTTACGTTACTATGTAATCACATTGATTGATTGTTTTGTTTTGATTGTTTCCAAGTTGGTTAAGTTATTGATGTAAATCAATAAATTGCAACTCAATAGATTATTATAACATACTTGTATTGAATGTATGGTGAGGATTGACCTCATCACCACTTATTTATATTTTGACAAACCAAACAATCATTATGTGCTGTATTTACAAGGGATTCATTTTCATTCCAACTATAAACAAAGATGAATAGTTAAGCTATGTGATTGTATGCACTTTACAGTAACGTATATAGGTAACCTATGTATACAACCAAACTAGGGAAACGGTAATACATATTTCTATCTTAGTATATGTGCTAAAAGTGTTATTACTAAAATGGAACATAAGTTTGAATTTCGCGTGGAACGATGTATGCTGTAACAACAGGTGTGTCACTGGGTCTAAAACAAAACATCAAGATTATTAACTAGGGCAGTTCTGATTTTACTGTTAGCATGTGATTGATTCACTTTTCCAAAATAAAAATAAAAAACAGTGGTTAGTAAGAGTCTCCAGACGTTTGATAAATTTTATCCGGTTATTAAGTACATATATGAGAAAGGTATTGAAGCCAAAATATCCTTTCTAGAAGCTCTACTTATGAAGGGAGTATATGGATCACTAAAATGGAACCCGAATAGGAAAGTTGCTTGTAAGATACAGTACATAAACCCTTTTAGTTTGAAATAAAAAAAGAACGATAACTACAACAGAATAACATGGGTTCAATAATTTGTTGGATTCTCTTGAGTTTCTTTACAGCATAGAAGTATTAGTAATAATCTTTTAAAACCAGTGCACATGCCTTACAATACAATTACGGGGATTGGTAAAAAGGCAGTCAATGTATTTGATGGAGTTTTGTTCTCTGAGCTGGATGGTTTGTTAATGGAGATTTCATCATTCTTCTGGACGACATTATCAGCACAAACTTCAGATAGAAGTGAAGTGTTCGAATTTCTCCATATGCATTTCACAGCTTGTTCTGTACACCTCGATGTTGATAGGTTCTTGTCGACCTTAAATTTATCAATGTTTACTTCTTTGTTTTGGCATTGTCTCCCATTGGTTTGATTCTTGTTCCTATATTTGTTCATAATTTTCCTGATTGGTTGATAAATTGGATCGATTTCAATATGTTTGTTGATTGCTGATTGACCTGAATGCCAGGCTTCTAAAAATTATCTGGTGCTTTTGGACTTTCCACTGTCTAAGATTTCCACATTTTACCAATCGAATGAGTGTCCGCAGTTGTCCACGTGTATTGATATAACTGAGGAGATATCATGGCATTTGACTGCTAACTGACGCAGTAAATATTGAAGAATTATAAAATGTCCAAATAGTTGTATATTTATGCATTAACCAATGTGAAAGTTCCTGAAAAAAGAATTTTTAAATACATAGATAGATATTTCTGGGAAATGAGAAATAAAGCTAGGCATTACGTAATAACAACTTCGGAAATGGATAGAGAGATTAAATTGAGTTTACTTGTCATTCAATCTGCATATATTAATTTCCGTAACCAACTAATAGTATTCTAGTCAAAGCTCTTTTATGGTTTACTGTACACAAGTTGCTGAAATTCAAATAAATGAATTAAAACTACTGCTCTTTACGTGTCCGATAGTGAAACCAAGATTGAAAGATGATAAACTAATACAACTTACTTATTCTTATGTTCATCCAAACCTGAACTTTGCGTATAAAAGAAAAATACTCAGCCTCTTCTCTCACTGTAGCCAACTTCAGGCATTAGAAGTCAATACTCATCCTCAGTATAAAACAACCTTATTTGTTTAATTTGGTTGGCGTGTTTTTAAGTCAGATTTTTCCTACGGGATTGGGTTGCCAACTTTATACCCAACCCTTTTCCTTTACCCGAACTTGGGACCGGCAGTAACTCCAGAAGAGCTACAGGCGGAGTTGTAAAATAACTTAATTTGACAAATGTACATTTAACCTCTCTCTAATTTAGATTTATCTTAATTCATTTCTACAACTTTTGAAACTTTCTGCCATTAATATAAATAACTGCAATCGATCAGTCTCTTTTAGAACACGTGCATCCTTAATAGATTATCTTGAAATTACCACCAATTCACAAGTATTCATAAGGAAGATCCTGTGTTCGATTCATGATGGGTCTATGAATGATGATTATCCAATTATGCTTAGTTTGTGATGAAACTTATTAAGGTTACCAATTTCATTTTGCTAACAATCCTTAGTTCATATACCATAGTTTCAAAGGATAATTATGCTTTATATTTAGCTTAAGATCACTCATTTGAATTTGTAATTCCCAAACTCAATATGAACGAATTTCTTTCTTTACTTATCGTTTGTTTTAACATTATGAGCATATTTAGACAATTAATTTTTATGCTTTAATTATCCCCGAATTATAAAACTTTTGGTGATTAAACTTTAAGATGAAGATTACTGATAATATTCTTTCAACATTTTACTAACCATAGGTCATGCAAATTCTTGGGGGAAAGGGTATCCAGAGATTTTAACCAAATGTTACATTAAGGGTGAACCGGATGGTACTTTGGGTCCAATCAATCCAATCAATAATATCTCTTATAACTTTGTGTCACAATTATACAAAGAATTGTTTAGTGTATTCCCTGATAACTGGTTTCATTTAGGTGGGGATGAAGTTGAATATAATTGCTGGTAAGTCTTAAAATATAAATTCGTGATAATTATAATGAACGCATTCATAATTAGAATACGTATTATACTTGCTCCTCAATGTTATATGTTGGAACAACCAACGTTGAATGTGACAAATTATCACATAACGGTAGTTCAATTAGATATTCCCTGATAAATTGACAGCGGATGTGGTTTTTTTAAGTTTACTGAACAACTGTGTTGATAAGCGTATAGAATTTAAATATACGAACACTCTGTTCTATGTTAGTGGATATATTTTTAATGTAATAAAATATTTGTAAATTAGATTTAATTGTTATACTACTAAATTACTATGTGAAAATGAACAGACCACTTTTAAAGTTATCAATAATGTCAACTTTACACCTGATGTTATCTAAACCGAGGTGAATAATCTAATGACTCTTATCTCCAATTTCAGTCTATCAGCTATGTATATTGTGACCATCAATCAATGTCATTGGCTATGTATATTTCGGTAATAAAAGACTTAAATCCACCGGCTTCTCACAAAGACTGTGAAAAGTCTTAATGAATCTAGTCTCTCATATACATATGCTTACTACCATTAAGATAGATTTGTGGAAATTATTTAAACTACTATTCTAATGATAATCATGTCACTACCGTAGAACGGAATTCTGAAAATTCTAGAGAGAAGATTATCGTGTACAAATACTTAATCAAGAAATCATCATGTTGTATCTCGATAGAAATAATGATTGGTAATTTTTGGGATCCATTTATGGACTAATACTATGCGTACATTTTTTATCGTATAATTGTTATGGAACTAAACTGTTCATATTCATGTCGATCTTATTATAAGCTTTGATTTGACCTATGAACTATTACTACACGGTTTACCATTCATGAACTGTTCCCTGTCTGTTAATCGCTACCTCCCACATTCACAGACACATTTGGCTAATTCTTGTACAAATGTTGTTCATATTTTATTGGTACGTTGTGGTCTGTTTGTTTGATATATAAACTCAGTATGCTTGAAATACAGTGATTCATATCTCAGAGGCTGAGACTTGCGTTCTGGACTTAACTGACTGGGCTAGACAGGAAGCATGGCGAATCAGAACTCTAGACTGCTCATGCAGTTTTACATGTCATTGATCTGATCAATAAGTCACTGCTCTCTAATCAGCGGTCACAGTTATAACACATCACTCATGACCAGATGAAAAACGTTTGCTTCAACTTTTTAAACTCCAATCAATTTACAAATTTAGCTTCTGCCTAAACATACCTTTAAATATAAAAAAACACATACTTTTATCTGAAGCGCTGTGACCATACAAACTTTAGATTCAATCATTTCATCAAATTGATTGAACATGCCATGCATATTTCGAAGAATTGTTAATAAGTAAACTTAAACTCTGTCATAATTCTGACCGAAACATCGATGTTTCTTAATAACCGTATTCAGATATCAGCGAACAAGTAATACTAGTATGTTCAGAACCAACTGACATAACCTTTTTTTTCATGATATCTCTTTTTAACTTATGACTTGGAATATTTCTCTATTCTAGATGTCATAAGGGAATATTCCCTACCTCTAGACTGATATACAAAGGGAGCATTTATTCTCTTCAATGTTTTAAATTATTGTAATATATTTTGCATTATTTTTATTGATACTAGGCGTTCCAATCCTTCAATTATTGAATTTATGAAAAAAATGAAATTTCATGATGATTATCACCGCCTGGAAGGATACTACATAAATAATTTAATTCAAATTATCAATGATGTCAAACCACCTGAACGAAATATTACTCCAATTGTGTGGCAAGAAATATTTGAAAATGGATTTAGAGTGAGTTCATCATACTTTATGATTTATATAAAAAGTAAATCTAAACTAATGATTATTAGATAATGAGTTACCTTCTGTACAAATCACACTTGAATAAGGTACATGACATTAAGTCCTTTAATTCAGATAATATTTCCATTAGCTGAAGATATTCCGCTTTTGCAATGACATTTGATCAAGATTCTTTGTGCTGAATAACAAAGAAGGACAATAGATTCCCTTAGGTGGTGCTTGGAGGTAGCCAACAAGAGAGCTTGGGCCTAGGTTTCGTGTTATTTGGCACTCGTCAGGAAAGCGTACTTGTAATCTTAAGGAAGTACATGTTCCCTGACGAATTCGACCTGTATCACCCAGCTTCACAGTCAGTGACATCTCATCAAGATACTAAGAAAAAGAAGATCTAAGGAAATGTGAGAACTACAGAGGCATCACACTACTGTCAGTACCAGAGAAAGTCTTTAACAGAGTGGTTCTGAAACGGATTAAACACCCAGTAGACGCCCAACTTTGAGATCGACAGGATGAATTAAGGAAGGATCAGTCGTGCATAGACCAAATTGCGACACTATGGATCATCGTCGAACAATCAGTTGAGTGAAACTCGTCATTATACATCAACTTCATTGATTATGAAAAGGCGTTTGACAGTGTACAAAAGAAAACATGATGAAAACTTCTCCGGCATTATGGAGTTCCTGAGAAAATTAATAACATTATCCAGAACTCATACGATGAACTACAGTGCAATGTCGTACATGGAAGACAGCTAACAGATGCATTCCAAGTAAGGACCAGAGTCAGACAAGATTATCTACTTTCCTCCTACCCCTATCAGCTGGCGGGTGACTGGATTATGGAGACCTTGACATCTGAGGGAAAACACGGCATACAACGGACAGCTCAGAGCCAATTAGACGATTTAAACTTCACAGATGACCTAGCACTTCCATCCCATACACATCAACAAATGCAGATTAGGAAAACTAGTGTAACTAAAGCCTCTCCAACAGTAGGCTCCAACATACATAAGAGGAAAGTGACATTCTTAAATACCACACAGAGAATACCAACCCAACCACACTTGATGAACAAGCTCTGAAAGATGTGAATTCTTTCCCGTATATGGACAGCGTCATCGATGAACAAGGAGAATCCGATGCACATCGAAAAGTGAGGATTGGCAAAGTAAGAAAAGCAGTTCAACCTAAGTTGTTGAAGGTGTTACTAAAATACTTCTATTTATTCACTGATCTTTTGGTTAATGCAAAGCTTTTGCTATAGGCAATAAATGTAGGTTTAAGTTTAAAGGGATGTTTATCGATCAGAAAAATGAAGGTCTTAATTTCCAACACTTCGATAAGTTTTCGTCAGATTTAAATGTGATTTGACATAGTTTTGAGAATTATATGTGCATTTGTATACGTCAGTCAACCCATTCTTTTTTTTCTTTTATTGATTTAAGGGCGATAAATCAGCAGTAATTCATGTGTGGAAAGACTTATATTGGGAATCTGTGGTGAAAAATGTTACTAAAGCAGGCTATAGAGTACTATTCTCAGCTGCTTGGTACCTGAATTACATTTCTTATGGTGATGACTGGAGGTACCACTATCGTGTTGATCCGAGAGATTTCGGAGTTATTTTCAAAATATTGTCATCTACACACTTTGTTCATTTCTCATGTTTGTTGCACATTGGTCGCTTTTTCTTAGTGATCAAAGTTTTTTTAATGAATGAAAAGATTTACAAGAATTTTCATAGGGAACTGATTCCACTTTTCCACCTCAATTGATTGATAAAATGCTAGAATTATTGATTAAGTTAAAATGCTGGAATCCTTTGAATCGTAATGAAATAGACTTTGCAAGATCGGGCATTTAAGCGAGCAGGTAATTACATCAGTATGTATAAATTATGGCTCATGTAGTAACAAAAGTGGATCCATGGACTTCAAGTCACAATAAAGTGCATCTAAAATAGCTTTTGTAATAAAATTCTAAATGTGTGCCATATTTCTGTTACTCCATGATATAAAGATAAAATGCCTGAAGACCCTAGAATCAATTTCTGGACTGATCATATATCTCCACTCCTGATGAGCCATATACCACTAAGTAACAAATGCTTAGTCCCTCTGAGTTGTTAATTGTTCACCAACATTTGAAAGTTTGTGGCATGATTTAGTGAGAAAATGATAAAGTTATTAGAAAAACATATTTGCTTGTGAATATTAGCATTTTATCAAGGTAAATTATTCATTCAGACCTTATAGAACGATAAGTCGAAGTATAGAATATCGACCATAATTAAACGTGATTTAGAAGTAAAGAATGATGAAATTATTTCACAGGTATTTCGATTTTCAAGCTTTATGTTGCAGTTAAAAATGAACTGTAGATAACCTTACTGTTTACAAGGTTTGTAACCATATTGTTTATGCTAAACTAAACCTATCCGATTGACCTAGTCCGGGTGATTTAAATTATAACTTTACTACTGTGCAAAACAATATAACAATAGTCGATCTATGTAAGATCACAGTTGAAAACCTAGAAGCACTGGTCGGCCATCTCGTTCTAGTATGGGACTCGTCAGCAGTGTACAACCACAATCCCTCACTCAAATTTCGAATCCAGAATCTACAGTCTCGCGCGCGAACACATAACCCCTGGACTATTGAGAAGGCATCCAATGGTGTTATTGTCAATTTTAAGTGAGAAGCCGTGCCCAGTGGAGCTAATCCATGTCGGGTATGAGGCAGTTACCCACCGAATAAAATGGAAGATGGTTGTACAGTATCACGGATTGATTGACGTTAGACATTAACATCGTTTGATCCTGGTTCAGTGGTCTTGAGACTGAGTATTCGCGCGCCAGACGGCTGTTGCTGGGCGGTTCTATACTACGACCAATTGACTGTCCGTTATTTGGAGGTTTTCATTGGTGGTCTAACACAAATCGATCCTTGATCTCAATCAAAACTGAACACTCTTCACAACCACGTACTGATAATAATAGTAATCATTTACTGAATACACCTAAATCGCCTTCGAGAAATATTTAATATTTGTTAGTTTCAGATCAAAATACAATTGTTTATATGACTTATGGATTATCCTTCACACTTATTTTTGTTTTATAGGTAGTAAGGATGATGCGAAATTGGTTATTGGAGGTGAAGCAGCTATGTGGGGTGAATATGTGGATGACACGAATTTGTTTAGTCGATCATGGTTAGTAAATAAGTACATATTGCATAATTAAGCTAATGAATTTGTGTTGATTGTTCAGAGTGGAGTTAGTTCTTACCAGTGAGAAATATCAACTGAAGGAATATTGAACATTGAGAAACACAACACAAGTATCTAGACTCTCTTTATAAACCTTAAGTTGTGTTCATCAACTCTAAGCAAAAGGGGCTCGAATCAAGAATATTCAGATTTTCTATCGAGCACCAATCCATTAGGTCAACGGCTTAGATTAACTTTTTATATATGATTTATTGGACTTTGTTAATTATGTCTTTTAACTAGAATTCCAAGAAATTTATATGGAATTAGTCACTATTAATCACACATTTATGATTTTTTTAATGCTTATTCACTGATATTCAGTTTAATTAAGTGACACTTTATCATTCCGGATGATACAGAATGGTTGTAGCGCCACTTCATGAGCTGATCAAAGTTGAAAAATTGGATTATTAGATGTGACTTTAGTGATCTAAACACATCGTGCTAGCTGCAATGTCTAAAGTTTTATTGATTTAATTAATTTTGTGTTAGTGATTGAACACTGATGGTTAGTCGGAGACTAAAAACTAAATGACTATTCTATTCCATCTAGTTTCCGATGATTATCCAAATAATGTCAGTTTATGATAAAAGACAGCCAATTTTATAATGTTAAAGATTCCCATTGTGAAAATTAGAACAACACATATAAGCGAACAATATTGTTTTCAATTAGATCGTCATCAGCCTTCACTCTAATATACATGAATATTTATACGAAAATGTTAAATCAATCAAGGCAATATGAGTCAATAATCCCAATGAAATAGAATAAGTCTCTAGGTAAAAGTACAAGTTGATAGTAGGAAGACAGATGAACTGATAATAGTAAGAATAATAAAATACAATAACAAAACTCTTATCAATAATTAATCGTTGGAAATAGAAGGTCAAATAAACATGGATAAATCGACTAGGAATAGTCAACACCAAAACATTAACATCATTACGTAATAAGATGTGGGTAAATAATTAGATAGTGAAGAATACAAAGAGGCGGAGAATTACAAACAAATAATGGATGTGAAAAGTACAACAATCGATCATATCTTTGTTCGCAGCATTGCAAACTTACAGTGGAATCAAGCAAATGATGATGAAGTTAAACACATGGTAGTAGTCAAATATAGATCCGTTGATGAGATTATGAATATTTAGAGACTGTAGTGACCTAAATATGTATTATGTAAGTCCAACTGCAGCCTATATCGATACCCAGAAGTGGCCCCAAGTCAAGATATGATATCATTCCATGAAGCAATTGACTGTTAATTTGAGCCATATTGGTAAGCGTAAATTACACAGTTGGATCCATTATGACAGTCCTAATCAGTGAATGATTAACCTTAGGCGGCGTGACTTAAAATGGATGAGAATGGAGATGTATTGACTTTTTGCCAGTTCACAGTTACTTAGTTACAAAATGATTACTTACTTTAGATTTATTTGTAAACACATTATTTCCCGAATGGTTTTGTACATCTTATTTGTTTCACAATGACTAATACTACTATTTCTACTAGTGTATTCATCTTATTAATTTCATCTCTCTGTGCTGATACGGTGCTTCAATTTATGCCTATGGACATACGTCCCATGTCCTGGCTTTGCTTACAAATCGGTGACTGAGCCTAATGGCTTATTTTTCCAATGTTGATCACAACAGTTCCGTCCTATCAGGCCAACCTAGAATGGTCAATACATGAATTCTAAAAGTTTTTCTCAACTGATATAAAATAGGAACCTCATTCACTTTCTTTATACGAGAGCTAGACAAATCCGAACCAAATATACAATCTATGTCGAACATGATAAATTAATTCAGACACCTATCAGCAACGGATATCTACCTAAATTAATTGGGAAAAATTCGAGGCCGAAAAAACAACTTGAAAGTATGCTCATAACAACAGAGAAAACTACCTTCACGTACATTCCGAAATTCCGAAGCCAGACTTTTGAGATCTCTGAGAAAAACATAATCTTTTTTTTATTTTTAAGTTTGATGAAAGAATAGTTTTATTAACAAACCTGAATTAACCGAATTTTATCATTAAAGGTCACTTGTCTCCACTTTGAATTGTCGGCCACTCCTGGTCACGTGACATGCACGGCCTTGTCCATATCACGGTCATTGGTCAGGACCTTGATTGTCGGCGGCCGTTGGTCACGTGTCACGTCCTTGTCCCTCTCAAGGTCATTGGCTTCAAACGGACCATGTCGACAAACGATCACTCTCGCCAGATTCAAACCCAGGTCCTTCAGTTTTCAGGATAAATTTGGTTTCTGGTTTCCTATTGTAGACTGACCAAGTATTTAGAAAGTATATCGCAACTCATTAATATTGATATAAGTGGTTTAACCAATTAAGCATCACCTCATTATAAGAAAGTACAACATTAATACAATATCATTCATTGATTTGCTTTTTCAGTAAATAATACAACTTCTCGAAATACTTCAGCTGATCAAGGTTCCGATAGTAGAACTATTAAATCAGCAACAAAATCAACTGGAAACAAAACAATTGGTATCACTGGTCAAAAATCTGGTTCTACACGTGGTACTTCAGCAAAAATTGATTTTAATCAAGCACATTGGAAAATGAGAATTATATGTAAAAAAATATTCAGTATGATTTACTCTTAGAAATTGTATATTACTTAAGTGGAACTATTTCGATGTTTATCTGTTGTTTATTTATAACAATTTTTCTAAAGGTAGTCAATTTTATTTCATGTTAATAAATGTGTAGCGTGGTGTCGAGTCCCAATTGACTATGAACACCACTACAAAGAAACACGCGCCAAATAAATCAGAAGGCGTAGGTTGAACGTAACCAAATTTATTCGTTGGTGATCTCGTGGTATCGAATGAATTCTGAGATCGTGCTAAGAAAAGGTACAAGCGGAATCGGCAGAAGAAAGTACGTGCGAACGGAGTCACAAACCGCGAAACAATAATGTAGAACAATGGAAGAGCGATATGGCGAAACAGCCATCCAGTAATTCCATATTTTCCATGGTAGTCTAGAAATAATTGACTAATGAATTCAAGTATACATTTATAAATGTTAATCAAAGCATAGCATAAGACTCTTCAACAGTGGACATCCACGATCCTGCCTCGCGAGATTCGAACTCAGGACACATCAGTTTCGCGCGCGAGCATCCAACAGTCTTAACGTCTAACTTCAACTAATCCAAGAAATTCAGCGACATATTCACCATTGTTTTCACTGAATTACTATCACAAAACAGACCCGGTTGAACTTCACTTTTCATTGCTTCTCACTAGAACTCCATGAAATATCTCTTGAAACCAGTCACTAGTGAGCGTATGTTGATTATTATCAGAAGGGGTTTTTATAGATATTATAGTAATCTTAATATTTGAGACCATGAATTCTCGTTTTATTGTTTGGTATAATAGTCATATTGAACTGGGCTGTTTCTTTCTTTTGTTATTTGTACCTAACGTTGATTGTTCATTGTTGCTTTCAAAATAGCAATTGAAACGTTTTCAGATTGTCTACAAGGATCATGCAATAGATTTTTCATTCAGAGTAATGCTGCAGTTGATGGTGAGACTCTGAGAGATGTGGAATCCTTCATATATCTGGGAAGCATCATCGATGAATAAACAGGATTCGATGTAGACGTAAATATGAGGATCGGCAAAGCAAGGTCCGCATTCCTGCTGTTGAAAAACATATAGAACTCAAAATATTATTATCCTTTTCACTTAATTGTGACTTTTATAGCATCAATCTAAACAATAACTGCACAAAAATTCATTCTATCGTCATATCTTACTACAATGATAAATTATTTTTTGTTACTAATTAGACGATACACACATAGTGGTTTATTCATGTTCTGTGTTTATAAACACGCCTATTACACTGTTTGCGTATTTCACGTCTCCTTTATTTCTATTCCCTTATTTTCTCCATTTCCTTCTTCAAAACTCAATTCAATATTCATCTCAATCACACAGGCCCGATTTATTATTATTAATATTCTACTATTATTATTCTAAATTTTTTTTTTAAATATGCCAAGTACAACGCTGACATTATTGAAAATTGTGTATTATTGCATCATCTGAAGAAACCCGAAATGGTTTCTTCACAACACTTATGTACCTATAAAATGTTTGTGAATAATAATAATAATAATAATAATAATAATAACTGTCTGTAAGCCAATATAAAAGTCACAATCTTCAATACGAACGTCAACATAGTTCTACCATACGGAGCTCAAACTTCGAGAACTACTACAACCATCAACAAAAACATACAAGTATTTCTAAATAGTTGTCTATGCAAGATTCTCAACATCCATTGACCGGATGCCATCAGCAACAGTCTATTGTGTGAGAGAACAAACCAGCTTGCAGATGAAGAAGAAATTATGGAAATACATTGGATGTGGATAGGACATACATTGAGGAAATCACCAAACTGCATCACGAGGCAAGCGCTACCTTGGAATTCTAAAGGGAAGCGGAAAAGAGGAAGGTCAAAGAACGCATTATGTCGGGAAATAGAAGCAGATATGAATAATAACTGGAAAGAACTGGGAAGGATTGTCCAAGACAGGTTTAGATGGAGAGTGCTTGTGGGTGGCCTATGCTCCTCCACGAGGAGTAACAGGCGTAAGTAAGTAAGTAATTAACCAATACTATTTATAATTAATTCTAAAGAATAGAAATTGAGTGAAAGGATAGAATGTTACTGATTTGCCTGCTTTTATGTTTATCGAATGTTTCTACTTTCTTATTATTTTATTAGAATGACATTAAATTCATTAATATGGATAATAAAATATTAGAAGTTAAAGCTTTAAAAAGAGCTTGTGAAGAAATGGAACCTGGTAGAGCGATGAGAGCTGAAATATCAAGAGCACGTTATCTTGAAGAATATGGTCTAATGAATAAATTGGATAACAAGACTAATGTAGATGATTCAGGATCAATGATTACCATTACATCTGATGGTTAGTTGTGTGAATAAATCAACTTTTTTTAAATTGTTAGTTGCATGTATTGTCACCAAGAAACCTTGTTTAACCTAAGTTTCAATTCAACCATTACTTACTAACAAACATATCTGTAGTCTTGATGGAACTTATTTACTTTGTAGATTTCAAACTGTGCATAATTCGAACATACTTACTTACTTATTTACGTCTGTTACTCCTCGTCAAGGAGAATAAGCCGTTCACCAGTATTCTCCATCCAACCCTATCTTGGACAATCATTTACAGCTTCTCCCAGTTGTTATTCATCTTTTTCATATCTGCTTCTATTTCCCAACGTAATTTGTTTTTTGGCCTTTCTCTTTTCCACTTCACCCCAGGATTCCAAGTTAGGGCTTGCCTCGTGATGTAGTTTGAAATCATAAACTTTATAAATGTAAGTATTAAAGAGTTCTGACTGGTCACTGTCAATATTGTCGAATCTTAATTCCTAGAACATTCAGTTAGCTGTTATCGACAGCTTAATCACGAATAGGGTCATCTATAAATTATAATCTCATCAGTTTTTGTTTTATTAAATATTCTAGATGAAGTTTTCTTCAGTAAACTAAATCATTTGGTTATGAAGATTTCGTCGCCTCTCTGACCTTTATTATCAGTTATGAAATGTCTACATTTCTCCACATATACTGAAATAATAGTACATACGAAAGAGGGACTCATCCATTATGGCTCTATAATAGTCGACCTCTCGTGCCATGATAGGGTCGTAAGAGCCTTTTCAGCTTCGACCACATAACTTCAATATTGTCAGTGTGTACTCTAGTTGTAGGGTCCACAAAATAACGCTTACAAATAACGACATTAAGCACTTATCCGTGTTTGTGAAGGTAACTGTATTCATCAGGTACTGAGGATAGCGTCATCACCATGAAATCTTTCAAACACTTCTGATTGACTCGTCCATAAATTAAAGTCTCATTCTGTCATTTAGTTTGGATATTTATTGTTCAATAATATGTACTTAAGATTGTGTTATCTTCATTCTTTTCTCCTCATTTTTTTCTTTTCTTTTTTTTAATCAATAGTTCGCAACTGACGAAGTACACTATAAATATTACGAAGTGTGTATGAATGATAGAAATAATATAATAAAACAATATAAAAATAATAAAGAAACATCATGTAATCAAACAATGATTGAACATAGTGATAATACAGAACCAATTCTAAATCAAAATGAAAATGTAAAAAAATAACAAAAGAATTAAAACATCCAGAAGTTCAAAAAGTCGATCGAATTCAAATCAACGAAAAAATTGAGAGAAAAAATAAATTAACTGTTTGTTTTACTCTCTTGTTTTTTCTACTCCCCCTCCTCTCGTCGTCGTCGTCGTCGTTAATAAATTGTTATATCAATGATTGAAATCATTAGTCATTTGAAGCTATATCACCATGGATAACCTGGAAACACTGGACGGCCGTTAGTCAGCAGTGCACATTCACGAACCAGCCCCCCACGAGATCTGTACCCAGGACCTATCAGTATCTCGCACGAGCGCCTTACCATTAGATCACTGAGCACGCCAGCATCTAAAGGCGTTCACGTCTAAGTTCAACCAATCCACGAAGTTGCGCCACCGTCATCATTGTCTTCAGTGAGTTGATATCTGATATCAGGCCTGGTTGAACTCCAATGGTAGTGGCTTCTCACTAGAACTCCATGAGTGTCACTTGAAGTCAGTCATCAGTGAACAAATGATTATTAACAGAAAGGGTTGCATGCACGCGACACTGATAGGTCCTGGTTTCGAATAACACGGGGGGGAGAGATCGTGGATATGCACTGCTGAGGAGCATCTAACTAAGATGAATCGGCCGTCTAGCTCTCCCAGGATTTCCATGGTGGTCTAAATTCAATTGACTCATGGTTACGATCAGTAGAGTGAATAACAGTCTACACTTTCGTAAATCAATAATCATTTCATTAGAAAAAGACAACAATATTTATGTTTTGAATACATATGTAAAAGAGTGATTTTGGATTTTCGATTTTCGAAAGTAAATTGTGCAATTCAAAAACATGTTGCAAATAACTAAAGTTATATTTCCTTGATTATTTCAACCTGTGATTGACTAAACGTTTGTTACATTATTTCGTACCAGTAATAAGAAGACTGCAGTAGCATTAGAAGTTCTAATACTAGTATTATTATTATTATTATTATTATTATTATTATTATTATTAGTAGTAGTAGTAGTAGTAGTAGTAGTAATAAATGTAGTAGTTGTTGTTGTTGTTGTTTTGCTTAATCAAAGTCGAGGTCTCATGACATTCCTTACTCGAGTATTCAAAGTTGAACCAAGAGTCTATGACATGCACTTATACTATCCATATTGCGGAATATAGTTTTCAGTTTTGTCACGATCGACATGCTCAAATCGAATGAATTGGAACATTCGTCGATCCTTACTTCATCTATTCCTTCATCATTTGCATCTTTACTCAATTATCTGCTTATCTACCAACTTTTATCTGACATTTTGACAAGAATGATATTCTTAAAAGTTCCTATCCGACATCAATGAGTGTTAAAGATGTAGTATGCATTACACGACAGACCATTTGTGGAACTATGACATTCACACTAAGAGATGGAATAAGATCATATCAATCAAAAATATATATAAGAAGGATTCCTTGTGGATATTATAGTAGTTTCAATGGTTCAATTCATGAATCAATTGATGTTAAACCTCCATGAATAACATGAAAGCATTGGATAGCCATTTTGTTATATTATGGGTCTCCTCAACACTGCGTATCCACTATCCAGAGATTGATATGTCCTGGGTTCAAATCTTGCGAGGCGAGAAATCATATCGATACTAACCAGTCAAAATATTAGGTTTTACTCTATTATAGACTCTAAAGAATTATATACATATTATTTTATAAACATATCACAATATATCAGAAGGGGATTTGTGCAGATTTTTAGAAATTTCACTGATTGAAATCATGAGTCAATTTAAGTCATACCACTATGGTCTAGTTGGTTAAGCACCTTGCATATAACTGATAGGTCACGGGTTCGAACCTCGCGGGATGAGGGATCGTGCATACGCACTGGAACTGAGGTGTCCCTTACTGTGGCAAAACGGCCATCCAGTGCATGCATGGTAGTCCAGTTTCGATTGAAGCATGATTTCAATTATTGATATAACAATTTATTAACGACGACGATGACTACGGGAGGAGGGGGAGTAGAAAAACGAGAGAGTAGAAGAAAAAAAATTATTCTTCTCTCAATTTTTTCGTTGATTTGAATTCGAGTCACGTTTTCAACTTGTTAATTATTTACTTAACCACTTTGACCGTTTTTATATGAGTGTATGTGTGTGTGTACACCTCTTATGCCACTCATCGTTTGTCTGTAGCTTATTTTTGTGTGACTATAAATATTGATTAACACTTGGTTAAATAGAGTTGGCTTATGTGCATTCTCCACTACTCGTCATCTCGCTTCGTCGCTCTGAATGTCTGGCCGGATCTCTGCTTATAATGCTTGTAAATTAAGGCAATATCGAAGCATACGCACAGTATGCACATATGCCAATAAGAGACTGATCAACTTCAGTCCTAAAACATCAATGGGAAGATTCAGATAAAACAATATCAAGTGAATTAAACTTCACCCCATTGCACAAGCAAGTGGCTATCAGGACTCAGTAGCTAAGTGGATAACGCGATGGCGTTTGAAGCGAACGGTACTGAGTTCGAGTCCCAGAGTGAACATCAACTCTGAGATGCAGGTACATCCAGCTGACGAGTCCCAAACAGGACGAAACGCGCGTCCTGGATTCCACTGCTAGCCACTATCGATCTCTGCTCAAAATATTTATGTTCAAAATCCATTCACGTATTTGACTTATTCAGTTCTGTTATTCACTAACATATGTGAAGTCAATAATTATACACGACAATTGACAACATGTATGTTTCTACAGCATTCAATCATACGTACCAACTGGAGTCATATCTCCGGCCACTAAAAATGTTATCCTGACTTTCCTCGTGAATAATTAGCAATTTAGTGAATAAAGGAATTAAAATAAGTCCAAAACGAGAAAGGATTTCGAACATGCATATTTCATACAATCGTTCAACTGGACAGACTTTCAGAGGAACGATACAAATAAAAGAGAATGAAGTGAAATGGCACACAGTGGAGAAGGAGTTTAAGTCAACTCCATTTAACCAAGCGTTAATCAATATTTATAGTTACACAAAAATAAGCTACAGTCATGTGATGAACAAGATAAGCAATGCAGACACATACGCTCATATAAAATCAGTCAAGGTTTTTAGGTGAATAAGTTACAAGGTCTAAATGGCCTGTTCATCCAAAATCTAAAGTATGTTATATCAGCTTAATTATCAGTATAAGGGTAGTGGAGATTGATAATTCATTGATTGCATTCATGAACCGATTGATGTTAGACCACCATTAAAAACCTGGAAGCATTGGAAGGCGTTTCATCCTATTGTGGCGCTCAGTAGTGCGCATCCATACTCCGACTCACAGGATTCAATTCTAGGGCCTTCATTCTCGCGCGCAAACGCCTAACATCTAAACCACAAAGATGATCACCAAACAATAGTGTTAATGTCTAACCTCAAACAAACCAAGAAATTGCGCGATCATCTTTCATTGTACTGAGGTGAATAGGGGTATATATAACTCATCTAACATTTATCAGATTATCTACATGTCTGACTAAGCAGACAACTAATCTTTATCATTCTCACCTACACATCATATTTGATTTTTAAAATTTGATCCAAATTTTGAACAAATAATGATGATAGTCAAGTTTCAATTGACTTATGATCTCAACTGTTGAAATTACCACAATCTCCACAAAACCCCTTCTGATAATAATGATAATATTTCAACTATCTTCAATCGCCCACGATCTGACTCCAGTTAGATCATATGAATGATTGTTATTGAAATACATATTATCACCTGTTGGCTTATCTCGTATAGAATCATCGACTTAACTGGCGTTAGTGTATAATGGAATCAAAATAAGTCAAATACGAGAATGAATTCTGAAATGCGTATATTTTGTACACTCACTGATCTGGAAAAGCAATCAAAGTGATAAACGGAATAGGAGAGATATGAAATGACGAGTAGTGGAGATTCCATGTAAGCCAACTCTATTTAACCTAGAGTTAATCAATATTTATCGCTAAATAAAATTAAGCTATAGATATGTAACGAGTAGAATAGACAATATACACACCAGTGCTTACACAAAGATAATCAAGATTAATAAGTGAATAATGTATAAGATCAAGATATCTGACTGAAGAAGAACAGTTGAATTAGTCGGTCTATCCCCAAATTAGAATAAGTTATGTAAGCTTAAAACACAGTATAACTAACATTATATATATCTCCTCGTGTTATTGTGATAAGTATATATGTATATCATTTCCTATATACTTGAAATCTACTTATTAAAAATTAAGGCGAGATTCTAATTTATGAACGACCTTTGAACGAATCTTAAGTGAATTTGAGAAATATTAGCTAATCAAGAAACACTTAGTATAGAGTAAAAATATATAATACAAAACGAAAGAAATAAAGTGAATACACGTCGTCTACATGGTTCAAAAACTTGTCAAGGTTAGAAAGAGGTGCAGAGGTTCTAAAACCGTGATGCATACAGTAGAGGAAATCATCCATAAGGCTACAGAATAGTCGACATTTGGAGCCTCGACCACATAGATTCAATATTGTTTATGTTCACTCTGGTTGTTGAGTGCACGAAATGCTACTTGTGGATAACGACACGATGCACATAACCAAGTCTATGTACGAGTCTGTACGCTCTCCAAACATCCGTATATATTGTAGTACCTGGTTGCAGACAGTGCCACTGATGCTTTTACTATCCAGTTCTCGATAATTGTCTTAATTTGTCTTAGTTAGGGTTTTCATCACGAACTGACATCAACAATAATGCCAGAAATTTATTTAGTCAAATTGATGAAAGGCTTTCACGTTAAAATCCGAGATCTATTATCTTATACCTGATTGATTCGTCCACAAATTATTGTCTCGCCATTTTATTTGTTATGTGCACAAAATTCCCTGTTAACCGATCAAAAATTAACATTCAGCAATGAAATTTGCGCCGTAACCTTGAAATCTCTTAAACGCCTGCGATTGACTCGTCCATAAATTAAAATCTTGACAGTCTACGTTCAGATACAAAGTAAACGAATGTAGAAAACTAATGAAC